CCTTCCTCATGCCTGACATGTCAGTTTCGTTAATTTAATTAGACCATCTGCTGATTATTAACAGTCATCTACAGATGCAGATTAATATTCAATGATAAATTAAAAAAATAAAATAAAAATTCCTGATCAAAATTTTGATATTTTTTTTTAATAATCCAATTTCAAAATCTGATTTTCTTAAAGTAGATATTTAAATGACCCAATCATTAACAATCTAGATAGTTTTAATTATTCGTTTTTTTTAATAGTTTTAAAATTAAAAATTAAATATCTTCTAAAATGAAAGTATATATAATTAAGTAGATAATAGAAGATAAATATTGAGATAAAATACACGTTTAAACAACTCATTAAGCCTACGATTACGTCTACGAGTTCAGTAACCTCAGTTGTGGTCTGGAAACTGGTTACAAAAAAAAAAAAAGAAAAGAAAAATAGAAAAAAACAAGCTGGTATGCCAAGCATTCCCACAACTATACATTGCGTGATATCTCTCGACAGGTAATAATGGTACGTTTATTCACTTTCAGATAAATACCCCTATTTGGAATTATCGGCTTCAATGAAGCTTTTTATGGTGATACTAGGTGAAAAATGTTCCATTAAGGCCAAAGAAAAAAAAAAGTATTTTATAGCATTTTAACATTTTTTTCATATTATTTTTTCTGTCTCCATAGTGCTTTTTGGTATTAATGCATGAATCAATTTTTTTTAAACTTTTAAATAAGTATTTTTAATAAAATGAAAAATATAAACTTTTGGATTTGATTTTAACATCATACCAGACTGAAACGACAAGAAACCGTTCGACGTTTTCGATTACTTCAGTACTTACTAGACAAACTTCCAATTAATTACAAAATACTCATATCCTTGACTATAAAAAGGCTTATTTGGACTTACGGAGTTGGACTAAACCATCGAATCTCTCTCGTATCCAATCCTTACAATACAAAATCCTTTGTAAAATCCTCAATGATCCCTACTTTGTTACAAATAAAATCATCGATAATGACCTTAATGTTTCTCATGTTTCAGATCTGGCCCAATCCAGATACCTATCCTTCCATAACAAACTTCATAACCACCAGAATTCTCTCGTTTCTAACCTTACTTCCTCTTCAATTCCTGATAACCCTCCGAGGCGTCTGAAAAGAAGATGGCCTCGTTATCTCCTAATGTAGACATATCATTAGAGTGCTGCCATTGGGTAATTACTCAACAAGTGTTTTCATGTCATTATATACATATTTTCAAATTTACTAAATGTATTTCTTCAATACAGTTGTAAATATCATTAAGAAATAATCATAAAAAAAGATTTTAACATATAACATTGAGTCTTCGAAAAAATATCTGCCCTCCATTTTATATTGAAAACAATTAAATTCCTCCAACAGACATGGTACTTTACCTTGGGCTCAACTTCAAAAGAAGTATGACATAGGGCCCGCATGATATAATGAAACGCAAGACACTTAACAAAGTACTTTACTCTCTTTTTGAAAAATCTTAAATACTAAAACTGAGACAGAAACTGAATACATATACATACTCACTTAAACCCACATGGACGTTCTCATCACAAATATACGGTATCGCTAAACAGACCCACCTACAAAAACTTCAAACGTTCCAATCAAAATTATTGCGACTCATAACAAAAGCACCTTGGCACGTGACTAATAAAACTCTACATACTGACCTCCACTTTCCAACAGTTGACCAACACGACACTTTATCAAAGATTTTATACTAATTTAAACAGACATCACAACAGATTAATAAGATACATTCCTACAGCTGACACACCCCAGAACACGCGGAGGAGACTAAAAAGGCGTTGGATGAGAGATCTCCTTCCTTAAACAACCTAAGTAATTGGAACAAGTTAGGGAAGAGGTACTGCTGAGTACTTTCCTTCCCCATGCCTGTCATGTCATTATGTCATGTATCGCCATCATATTTGTTGATTGACAATAAGTTGAAAGGTGCAAGTACATTTTTATAGAAAAAAAAAATTTATTGCAGGTTTTTTTTTTTCATGTCGTACACTAAATTCTTCGATTTTGTTTCTATTTCACAAAACGGTGCTAAATTCAATATGACTTCACCAATCCACGAAATGGAACAAACTAATCCTTCCTAAGCAAATAAGAAACGGTGAATAAATTCAGTATAGTTTGTTAGTTCCGTTAAACTTTCGCCAATTAATTTAATACAATAGTCCTGAGCGTCTGTTGCTATAGTACTCTCTATCAGTCGCTATTAGCTTCCAATACCAGTTCTGCGGCTGGGAGAGAAGCACTGGGATCTCCTTGAGTTCCACATTTGGGAGACAAATCTTGGTTCAGAAACCTCTGGGTCAATCTAAATATTGTACATAGGTGTGAAATTGTTTTATTTATTTTATTATCATTCGGCTTTAATCTGTTATTTTATTTATCCTTTGAGTCTGAGTTTTCAACGGAAATACACGTTTTGAGGTCTACTGAGTCCAAATAATCAAGTCCCGAAAAATGGTCTATATGTGTGTATGTCTCTGTTTGGGTGTGTTAACAGTCTAGCTCAAAAACCAAATGTCGTACGAAACTGATATTACGTATTTAAGATAGGTATATGCCTTAGGTGTGACAACAACTTTTTCCTTAAAATCGGCTAGCCGGAAGTGCCACTTTATATCAACAATGAAACACGTTTGTACAATTTTTTCAAAAACGGCTCCAACGATTTTGATTAAACTCGCTGTATCATTGTATAATTAAGTGGTATTTAATATCATTTAGGTCTTATCTCCCATTGATGTCACTTTACAGGGCTTAAATGCCCAATGTTCATATACGTCTCCCTCTAAAGTATCTTTAATATAGTTTGCTTTAAATAATTAACTATCTCTCATTATTAAGAGTTACGAAAAGTTGCTAAATGTAACTTCTTAAAAAATTTGATAAATGAATAAAGAAGAAAAAAATAAAAATACTTATCCAGGTCGAAAATGATTCTCCGGATATAATATTCAGAAAAATAATAATTTTTAACGTAAATCAAATATTTTCAAGAAAATTAAATGAAATTTACAAACTAAATGTAATCATTTAAAATATATTCAAGTTTAAAAACAGTATTTAAAATCCACCTAATCAAAGCAACTAGTGTATATAGGTATGTTGTGTTCTTTATTATTTATTTATTTTTAGGTTATTTTATTTTTGTTCATTGTATATATTATTTTTTCTGTATAATTTATTTTATTTATTGTACATAGAGTGTGAATGTGATCTCTATAATTTATAACAATATTATAAATGTCCTTTGAGACATATTGTAATATTTTTCAATAAAAAGTAAAAAAAAAAATCAAGGTAATGACATTGTTTAAAAACTATTTCATTTTTCTTTTGTGAAAGAAGAAGTGAAATATAAAAATATTTCATGGATATGTTTTATACCCTTAAATATATTTAATGTAGTTTAATAACTCTAGATCTGTTATTATATTTAAATAATTAGGTATCTATCGTCCGTTTATTCCGAAAAATCATCATGTAACGTTTTAGAAAATTAAATTAGTGAATAAATTGATGAATTTTGCTTTGTGGTATTTACTTATAATTAGTGGCAACTGTTTGACGTGTCTATGACAGATAATGCAATTATCTAAATTTCATTTTGGTGAACTTTGCAATGGAAAATAACAGTTTAATCAAACGGTGATATAATAAATTGGACTTTATTTTAATGATATTTATGATTTGTTAAGTGTAAATATTTTGCTTAAGCTCGGTTAAAGATGCTATTCAAAAATTTTATAATTGCCATTCATGGCCAGAAAATAATTTCTATTCAAAGTTGAGCGGTAATTGAAAGTTGTGTTTTGCGCGCACCAGATTTTTTATTTTACTAGGAGGGTACCACTTGTCCGCCTGACGGGGAACCAACCCCCATTTTACAAATTACACAATTGTTCATTTAATTGTACTTGTTGCTCAAATTGTACAACTTTAATTTATATGTATCCTGTAGTTCATACTGTATTATTTTTTATCAACATTAAATAAACTGAATGAAACCACAGTACGGACAAATATTTTATTTATAATAATCATGCATAATTTATAATAGCCGACTTGCTCATTGCATCCTATTACCAATTTATATTATTATATTTATTATTATTGCCAATTTGTAACCATAATATATGTTCAACTTGTCCAGCTTCATATAAACACAACAATAATTTGAGCCTTTAATTTTTAATATTTTCCTTGCTAATATATTGCGCTTTATTTATCTGTTACGTAATAATTATAACTATATCACAATATCATCTAAATAATATTATATATAATATAATAGTTAATATATTGTAGTCGAGGAGAAATGTCTTGATCGAAAAATAACTGCTGTCAACCTAGATAAAATCAAACTACCATATACAGATGAATAAATAACATTTCCCGTACAAATTTTTAGTCTAAAATATTTATTTTGCATTAGGAGAGTAAGAGGTAATAGGAGTTCAATACATATGTGATTAAATGAACAGCTGTATAATTAGTGCTAATTATAGATCAAATAGGAGAGCTCTTGTAATCTCCTAAGATCCTAATACTAAAATAAAATAAAATATGACATACACTAAACACTTTTTTATATAATAGTGAGAACATTTTTTTTTTTCGTCTTTAGATCGCAATGAGCAAGAAATAAGTCTCATATTTTTCGACCTCGTGTTACCTCATATGAGTTTCGATTTTATATTATTTGCGAAAATGAAGTCTTAGTTTAGATATTGTAGAAGAATTCAATAGATATCATCAAAATTATTTTGAGGATTAGGCTAATTAACGTTAATAATAAATACTCAAATAATACCATAATTTCTTATAAATTTACTTTCTAACTAAAAAAATAAATGTTATGCTTTTATTTATTTTTTAATTTATTGATTAGTTATAGTTTTTATATATTATTTTCGGAAAGGAAAGAAGACTGATTAACGATAACAAATTAGTTACTTTATTCCTAATGACAACAAACATTAAAAAATATAAATATTTAATATAGTGAGTGATTCTTAATACTAATTTATAATTTACAAAAATCCACTGAGCTTTTAAATTAATACACTTAAATATAATTATTACATAGTAAGTAGGAATAAATAAATAAAAAAACCACAAAAAGTATATGCTTTATTTACATAAATGTTGAGTAATGTTTTCTAATATTTATATAACAGTAATCAGTTAACTAATAATAGTAATTAAAAAAAAAACAACTTAACACTGTACATGGAAATAATCTAGACTAGGATACACAAAAATTATAATAGGAATAAAACAATGTCGATAATATATATATATGATATAGTTCACAAAAATTACAATCACAGTTGAATATACACATTCTACTTCAATATTAAAATTTATCAAAACATGTTAAATAATATACATAAAATTACAATTGTAAAAAAAATATATTTGAAAAGTAAAATTGCATAATTATTAACATTAATCTGATTTTATACAATTATATGCAAATAATATTTGCTAATCTTATATTGATTATTATGAGTAATACGATCATACTTGTTAAAAATTTTCTTCGACTAATCGTATATTTTGTATTTAGATAGATAAATGTTGTTACACTAAGTAAAACAGTCAAATTTTATTTTTATTGACTACAGTGAAACCTCTCAACAAGAGACAGGCAACAGTCTGAGGAATTTATTCTTTATTAAGTTCTGCACATAAAATCTATTTTTTTTTTTTGTATTTTTTGGAAATTTGCTATTTCTACTTATTTGTTTTATAGTAATAAAGTACGGACATTCTTGAAATGTTCTGAATAAACAAAACAAAAACGACTCAGACATATTGATTAAAAAAAATGAATAACTTCAAGATATGTATGTACATATTTATACAAATGTGGGTGGGTATTTCTTAAATTACTTTGAACTTTTCTTACATAATTTTGGTTCACAAAAATGAATCATTTTATTTTTTATTTTTAAAAAGTGGAGCTAGAATTAATGATATAATTGTATTTAACGAAATGCCTGTTTCTGATATTTAGAATGTATTACATAATTAATTTAATTTTTTGTCAAAATTTATTGTTTTTACAGAATATTTTAGTAAAAGTTTAATTTTCAACAGTATATTAATAGGCAAGTTAATAACATAAAATGCCTAATTTACGAGTGTCCTTTGAAGAGAGGTTTCCCTCTATAATATTTTTTTTTTTGTTCGACTAATTCAGATATTATTTATTAAAGGTAACTTAGGGAATGGATTGAGACTTATTTTAAACATAATGGTTACCCTTCGAGATCCCTTTGTTAATATGGTGTAAAATTATTTTGTGTGGTATGTTCCCTTATACGTCGTGGCCAATTTACCTCCTCCTGCGTGCGAGACCTGCGTTCTTGAGGACGCTGAAGATCTTTCCCCTGGGGATCTTGGAAGTCTCTCTCATGCTGACGTGCATCTCCCCCGGGCCGAACCAGGACTCCTTCGCCAAGGCGTCGGCGATCCTCGGGTTTCTGTAGAAGGAGTTGGTCAGATGCGGAGGAAGGTGTGATTCGGCTTCGGCGTTGATGAGGACATCTCTATGAGCGAGAGGGGCCGACTGCCGGAAGAAGACGTTCTCTCCTCCGACCGGAGGCGCGGTCAGGGATACTGGCAAAAAGACCTGCGCAAGCGCGACAGAAAGCAGGCTGAGGAACAAAAGAACAACTCCGTTCTGCATCGTCTGCAAAAAAAAAAAAAAAAAAGGAATCAGTTATTTGTCGTTTTATATTTGTTATTTATTATTACATATATCTGTGATATATGTAATGTGATAATATTTATGCAAGAGTACGCTTTATAGTTCTGACCTTTTTTAACATAGCACACAGACTTCACCAATCCTTTATAGGAACACTGATCGATCTATCGACCAACTCAATGTATCTGCCCTTCTTTTCCTATATAGTTAAATTAACCGTTTTCTATTTAAGCTATACCGAAAAGGAGGATTACATGAAATGTAAATAATAAATAATAGCTAATTATAAAAATGATGAAATACTGAACATTTCCCTCGCTTAGAGCATGCTAGCCTAATTTTCATTTTTTGAGATATTTTAATCCATATCTCCAATAAAACTCGTTATAATTTGGTTTTCGATACGATTTTTTCCGTATTCGCCTCTCTAACACGGCGTCGCGTTAAGATACAATTTTGAATTATAGCCTATTACAGAGAATATGAAATGCTGAACAATTTCCTCGCTTACAGTACGCAGGCCCGATTTTTATTTTTTGAGATATCTTAATCCATATGTAAAAAGATTTGAATCCGACTCTAGCCGACTTTACCCGAGTGTTAACACTTCGGAAATCTGACGGATCGATCTAATTAACTCTTCACAAAAATGTGCAAAACGGACCAAAAGAAGTTTTCACTTCAAAAAAGGAAATATTTTTATTCTGTGTAAAAATTCAAAATAATTATTGTGAAATGAAAAAATATGATATTGAATATTTAAAAAAAAAATTATATATTTGTTTGTAGGTTGTAGAATTTTCTTATGTGCATACGGACACACTTGAAAATATCTGAACAAAACAATTGAACATATTATAAATTGTATACATTAAACATGGAAGGAAGATAAGTGCATTTCAATAACTTTTCCAGCTAATATTATTAATATTATTAATAATATTATTAATAAACCAAAAATTATTGTTGTTTTCTTAGTTTGTACAAACTTGAAATAAAAATACAATCTTTTTACAGTTATGTAAAAAGGTCTATAAAAACATTTTCTATCAAATACATTTATAATTATATGTTTAAACATATGTCTTGCAAATTCATCGTAGAAAATTTATAAAAAAAATCTGGTGTGTCTACTCACACGACTTTCTTACCTGTTTCAGAAAAGTTTTTATATCTTTACATATGTCCATTAATAAAAAAAAAAAAATTGATTACATTAACTTTCCTGAAAACATATATGAAGGAAATACTGAAGCTTGTGAGATGGGGACAACAGATTTTCTTACTTTCCCTTATTTATATATTTTTCTTTCTCATTAATCCCTTCCTGACACCAGAATATGTACTTGTAATCTTACATTAGAAATTTAATAGCTGTAATTTCGTTAATAGTTGTCCAAAATGAATGATATTTATCTACTTTTGTAGGGAATCCCATTAACTTAAAAAAAAAAAAATTCAACAGTCCATAGAAAACCATATTTTTCATTTATTGCGCAGCCAATATTGCGCATGGAACACCGAATTTGTGTCACAGGCATCATTAGTCAGAAACCTACAAAATAAAAACAAAACAAAATCGGTTCACTAGTTCCCGAGAAAATCTTGGCACAGACAAACAGACCGATAGGTAAAAAATGTGTTTTTTTCGGACTCAGGGGACTCAGTAACGTATCGATGCATCAAAAACCGCATATCGGACATTTGACTCGATCGCAATACTTTCCTTACCTAGTAGAGTTAGGAAAGCAACATGTGGAAATGGATGTGTACACATGAGAAGAGAATGAATCATAAAATCCAAGAATATGTTTCTATATAATCATCCCTGAATATAAATCAAAATTTAAATAACAGGGATATTTAGGTCGTGATAAAATAGTTACGTACCTAATTATATGTCTTAGCTTAACCAACTAGTCGAATTTTTCTAATTGAATTTAGTTTATATATTTTATTCATTTATGTATCTGATTTGTAATGGCTTTCTCCCCCTCTCCCACCCCGTAGTCTGCTTGGTTTTTGTTTTTTCGTTTCGTAATTGTATGATTCAAATATTTTACTTTCTTACTGTTGTCAAATGTGGATATTAAAATATGTTATGTATGTTAGCTTCTGATCTTTCGGGCTAGTTCGGGTGCGCTCGTATTCTTTTAGTTTCCCAGTTACAACTATTTTCCGTTACGATCTCTAATTTATATTTTATTTAATTATCAAATTCTTTCATTTTTTAAATTTACATATCTTTTATATTACAAATTAATGTGAAATGTTCAATTGTTTCAAATAAAAAAAAAATCGTTGGACCTGTTTTCAAGAAAATCTTAAAAAAGTGTTTAGTCCATGATAGAGTATTCCGTTTAGCCGATTTTGACGAAAAAATTGCTGTAAACTTCATAAATCATTATATAAAAACCTTTAATATACAATTTTACTTTCGTACGACTTTTCATTTTTGACCCTGACTGTTAACACTCACACACACAGACATACACACATATAGACCATTTTGCGGGACTTGGTAATATGGACTCAGGGGACCTCAAAACGTGTATTTCCGTTGAAAACTGAGATTCGAAAATTTTCACGATCGCAATACTTTACTTTACTATATATTTCATATTTAGGTAGGAGAAAATAAATAATTGTTTTCAATCACGAAAAGCAGTCAACGAAATGAAAAATTGATGGAACCAGTGAACTCATCATTATATTTATATTTATATAATATTGTCACAGTTCGTATTACATTAACCTCATGTTATGTTTGGAAGCTTCTAATCTTTCGGGCGAGTTCAGGTGCGCAGATAACATTAATTAAAGGTACTTTAGAGGAAGTTAATATTGAAAATTAGCCATTGAAGACCTGTTAGAAAACATCCAATTTTATTTAAAACTGCTTAATTTTACACTGATATAAGGAATTTAATCAAAATCTTTACAGCTGTTTTAAAGATAATCTAAAAAAAAAAGTGTTTAGTCCATCATATAGTATTCCGTTTAGCCGATTTTGACGAAAAAATTGCTGTAAACTTCATAAATCATTATATGAAAACCTTAAATATACAATTTTACTTTCGTGAGACTTTTCGTTTTTGATCCAGACTGTTAACACACACACTCACAGACATACACACATATAGACCATTTTGCGGGACTTGGTTATTTGGGCTCAGGGGACCTCAAAACGTGTATTTCCGTTGAAAACTGAGATTCGAAAATTTTCTCGATTGCAATACTTTACTTTATTATATATTTGATATATAGTTAAGTGACTTAAAATTCATTTCGACTATATTTTGAAAGTGCTGGAGATGCCGAGTTTTCGTTTGCCACATATCCTAGCGAAAGATAATATCTAATATCTAAGAGATAATATAGGTAATATCTGAGAGAGCTTATTGGTACCAAAAGTGGTTAGAATTTGAGAATAGTTGTAAAACTAATCTTGATATTGCAAATATCGCTGATCTGCGCGGAAAATTGACTGTTGTTTGACATAGGGTAGAGGACTTAGAAAAACAAAATAATCTAGAAAATGTCTTCATTCAAGTTTTTCTGTTTACGCAGGGCTATGTTCAGTGGGCACTGATACACCCTATCTTAATGATAGTTTCGATATTGTGACTATAGGGTTAATTTTTCGATGTAGGACAGAATTGCTCTATTTAAGCGTAAAACCATGGATGGTGGGGGACAACGATTACTGTCCGGTATGTAACTCTCAAGAAAAAGAGGATATCATTCACTTTTTGGGGACCTGTCACATGTACAGAGAGATAAGAGAGAAATGTTTTGGGCAGCGGACATGTTCTCTGGAAGAATTATTTGGTTTCTTAAAGGGTTCTAACTGGAAAACCTTAAGCAATTATGTACAGCAGGCCACACTGCAAAGATCTCAATTAGTCAGATAGTAAACTATTGATACAATATCGTTTTTATTTATTGTAACGTTTGTTTTATTTTTATATTGTATTTGATGATTATTGTTGTTGAATTAAATTTCTTATTTATTGGATTTGTGATGTATTAATGTTTTTTTTTTTTTGAAAACTCTATTTAAACAGAGGAGGCAGTGAAAAAGAAAATTGCTAGAATGGATGTATAAAACCATAATAATACTGTAGATTATGAAGAGAAGAATAGCTGGGGTGCTCAGTCAAAAAAGGAAGGCAAAAAATAAATTATAATATTTATTTTTTACATATGCCGACGTTTCGACCTGAAGTTCAGGCCTTCATCAGGGCTAAGAAAATAACCAGATAACAAGGTATGAGAAACATAAGTAATGATGGTAAAAAAGATAATAAAAATTGAGAAAATAAAATAGATTAGATCTAGATAAAATAGATCTAAATAAAATATTAGAAAAATAAAATTCTTCCTCCTTCCTTTCATTCCTTCTCTCTGTTGTTAACTCTTTATTATATTATACATTGTCTGTACATCTTGATAGACTTTACATTATCTCAATTTTCTATCTAACTACTCCATTCTCAATGTTTTTAATTTTACTATTTATTTTATTTTCATTTCTTATATAACTTTATATTTCTTTTTTATGTTTTTACATTTTATTCTAAGATTCCCAATGTAACACTTTTGTCACCCCCTTTTTGATTATGCCTACTTCATCATTCCACACTATGTAACAGTCTTTATTATTTATCTCTTAGTTCTTAATCATTATTCTAACAATTTCATTTTACTTAATATCTATCTATTTTATTTTTCTAATATTTTATTTAGATCTATTTTATCTAGATCTAATCTATTTTATTTTCTCAATTTTTATTATCTTTTTTACCATCATTACTTATGTTTCTCATACCTTGTTATCTGGTTATTTTCTTAGCCCTGATGAAGGCCTGAACTTCAGGTCGAAACGTCGGCATATGTAAAAAATAAATATCATAATTTATTTTTTGCGTTCCTTTTTTGACTGAGCACCCCAACTATTCTTCTCTTCATTATCCACG